CCCCATCCCCTCCATTGTTCTCTATGGTGGGAAAAAAGGTTACTTTTTTCCCACCATAGAGAACAATGGAGGGGATGGGGACAACCTGTTTGGGGGCCTGTAGAATTGGTCCCCCTGGTCCAATGTTCTTCAAACTTGGCAGGAACCGAGGCCTGTGAAGATCCATTTATAGCATCTGAAGAAATGGGCTGGAAGAAACCCTTTAAAAGAGAGAGAGAGAGAGAGAGCTTTATGTTGTCACAAGATTCCTGTTTGTTTTTCCTGTAGTAAATATGGCTAGGCTATCTTTCTGTTACTGTATGTATTTCCTTTTGTATTTCATGGTTTAAATTTTGTAAGCCACTTATGTTGGAGGATGGAGTGCAGAACGTTTTAAATAAAGTCTAAAATACAAACTAACTGTCTCATTCGTTGTGTTAACAAGTGATTATGGTTGTGGTTGAGCACAGTTGGGTAGAAATGAATCATAGAGTTGGAAGGGACCTCCAGGGTCATCTGGTCCAACCCCCTGCACAATGCAGGAAATTCACAAAGACCTCCCCACCCCCAGTGACTCCTGCTCTATGCACAACAGATGATGGACATGCAAAAGTACCTGGTCAGGCCCTCATACATGTTGCCCTTCATCTACAAAGTTCAATGTATATGTATGCTATACATGGGGGAAAGTTGTGTACGGTGGACATAAAAGGCCATGAAATACAAAAAGAACAGTCTGTGACACTTCCCTGCAAGTTTCAAATGCATACTTGTAACCACAGCAGTAGCAACAGAATCCTCCTAGCCAGTCAATACCTCTACCATGAGTGGAACATACATCCCTATTGAACCCTAACTAGATAGCATCAGGCCTCCCAGTACAATCCAGCAATTTCCCACCAGATTCTCCCTTGGAGCTTGAGTCAAAAAATTAGGACTTTTAGGCCAGCTGTAGTGCTGCATCAGAAGCCATAAATAAATATTCATTTTAAGGCGTCATGAGATGCTTGTTTCTATGCAGCAGATGGCTGCTCCTCTGGAATTGACCTGGCTTAGCACCTAGCCCGCATTTTGACCTATAATTACTCCCTTTTAAAAAGATTGTTGAGAAAGGGACAAATCACTTTCAAAAAGCTTCCTTCAAAAGATAATTCTGGGTTCCCTCTGCTACTTTTAGGGATTTTTTCTTTTCTTTTAGACATGGCAAACTAAAATTGAACATACTCTTCCTAAGCTTTTGTCTGATGCCTGAATTTTAGTTCATAAACACTGGCCCTTAGACTCAGTAGCATTCTTTTCTTAAAGCAGCAGAATTCTATGATTCTAAACAGGGCTATTTTGGGGCAGGAACGCACAGGAATGGAGTTCCGGCTGGCTCCCAAGTTGGCTACACCCAGTAGGAACATTAGCATAATAGGCCACACCATAATAGGCCACACCCAGTGGCAGGAACTCATTAGTATTGGCTACATTAGGGGTGTGTGGCCTAACATGCAAAGGGGTTCCTGCTACAAAAAAGCCCTGGGTTTTATCAACAAACAAGGTAAACAGAATAACAAGCAAAAGGTGGGTGTGGCTGGATAACCACACTTCTGGTAACGCACAGGAACAGAGTTCCGGCTAGCTCCCAAGTAGGCCACGCCCAGCAGGAACTCATTAGCATAATAGGCCACACCCAACAGCAGAAACTCATTAGGATTGGCTACATTAGGGGTGTGTGGCCTAACATGCAAAGGAGTTCCTGCTACAAAAAAGCCCTGGGTTTTGTCAACAAACAAGGTAAAGAGAATAAGAAGCAAAAGGTGGGTGTGGCTGGATGAGCACACTTCTGGTAACACGGGGGTGTGGCCTAATATGCTAATAAGCTGTGCTGTCAGGGGTGTGGCTTAATATGCTAATGAGTTTCTGCTGGGCTTTTTCTACAAAAAAAGCCCTGATTCTAAAGTTTTTCAGCTTTTTTGCTTTCAATATTTCCTATTTTTCTGCAAACTTTGGGCTTCCCTTAGGCTTATTCTGACCATCCAGTTTTACTCCTGATAGACTGGTGAACCAGGTACAGCCCTTCCTTCTTGCCACTGTGGTGCATGCCCTAGTAACATCTAGATTAAATTATAGCAATGCTCTCTACTTTAGGCTGCCTTTGAAGACTGTAAGCTACAGCTGGTACAGAATACAGTAGCCAGAGTGTTGACTTGAGTAGGTTGTAGGGACCCTATCACTCCAGTCTTGTTCTGCCTACACTGGCTCCCCGTTTGTTTCTGGGCCCAATTCAAGGAGCTACTATTTACCTTTAAAGCCCTATGCTACACCATTGTGGATTAGTTTTAATTTATAATTTATTGTTCTATTGTTGATAATTTTATGTCAATTGTATTTTAAATGTTTATAAGGTTGTAAATCACCCAGAGCCTGCTTGCAGGGTAGGTGATTCATAAATTCAATAAAATTAGATAGACAAGAACATTAGAAAAGCCAATGTTGGATCAGGCCAATGGCCCATCCAGTCCAACACTCTGTCACACAGTGGCCAAAAATACCAGGTGCCATCAGGAGGTCCAGGACACTAGACGCCCTCCCACTGTTGCCCCCCCCCCAAGCACCAAGAAGACAGTGCGTCATTTGCCCCAGACTGAGAGTTCCTATCCCTTGTGGCTAATAGCCACTGATGGACCTCTGCTCCATATGCCTATCTAATTCCCTCTTTAAGCCGTCCATACTTGTTGCCGCCACCACCTCCTGGTTTGAAGCCAGCACACCTTAAGGACTGCTTTCTCCCATATAAACCTACCCATCAACTCCGGTCATCTTTGGAGATCACTGTCCCTGCCATCTGAGGCTAGATGGGCCTTCTCAGTACTGGCACCAAAACTTTGGAACTCCCTTCCTCTTGTTGTGTTCTATCAATGGGTGAAGATTTTTGTTGTTGCTATGTTGTCTACACTCAATAAATGTTATTGGCCTCTGCCCTGGTTTTTGCTGTTGTTTGTTTATATTTTTATTGTATTATTGTGTGTGTGTGTATGTATGTATAGATAGATATAGATATATATTATTTTAAATGTTTTCCGCCCTGACTCAAATGACCCAAGCTAGCCTGATCTTGGAAGCTAAGTAGAGTTAGCATTTGGATGGGGGAACTACCAAGAAAGTCCAGGCAATGGCAAACCACCTCTGAATAGTTCTTTGCTTAAAAACCTTACAGGGTCACCATAAGTCGACTGAGACTTGACGGCACTTTCCACCACCATCAAACGTTTTTAATATTGGAATTTTTGATGTTGCTGCCTTGGGGGACCTATTTGGGTGGAAAGGCAGCACAGAAATGTCTTAAATAAAATAAACACTACACAATCAAAATGACTAACAATTCACATTCTAAATAATTTTCCTTTAGTTGTAGATTACAGGTAGGGGGGGGGACCCCTCATTTCCCCATTCCCCTGGAACCACACCATTTCCTATCTAATGGATTTACTGCCAGTCAAAGGATACAAAAATAAGCTAGATGGCTCACTGATGTGGCTTAAATATGGAAGCTTCATACATTCAGAGAAGCCTCCTATATCAGTCTAACGAGCAACCTCTATGTATTAACCACAGAACACCTGTATATTGATGCAGTCTCTTTACAAGACAGCATCGTGTCTTATTGTCCTGCGAATGCACACAGTCCCCCATGAACCAGAGTGTGCGCCCTGGAATGTATCCAGGGCCTATCAGTACTAGTGGATAAGCTATACTCGAGGAGGAGGAGGAGACTGGATTTATACCCCGCCCTTCACTACCCATAGAAGTCTCAGAGTGGCTTACAATCTCCTTTCCCTTCCCCTCCCCACAACAGACATCCTGTGAGGTAGGTGGGGCTGAGAGAACTCTGACAGAAACTGCTCTTTTTCAAGAACAGCTGTGCCAGAACTATGGCTTGCCCAAGGTCATCCAGCAGGTGCAAGTGGAGAAGTGGGGAATCAAACCTGGTTCTTCAAGATTAGAGTCCGCACACTTAACCACTATACCAAACTGGCTCTCTCCAAGCAGGACTTGAAGCTCTCAATGGTAGAACACATGCCTTGAACACAAAAGGGCCCATCCCAAGAAACTCCGGTTAAAGAACTTCTGCTAGAAGCTGGCAAAGCCTTTCTCTTCCTTTGCCCCAAATGCTGAAGATGTACTGTCAGTCACGGCAGATAAACCTCTTTCTCAGTATTACGGCAGTTTCATATGTGCAGGAAAAGCTCGCCTGCTGGTGAGAATTTTAGAAGGACCCTTGGTAAGCTTCTGATGAACTTTGTTATTCTAAATCTGAATACATTTAGAAGCTTTCCTCAGGAATTATCAAGTTGTACACACAAATGATAGAAGGCAGGTCGCTTTGTACACAGAAGACCATTACACAGATGTTATTTGCATACAATTTAATGTTTGTTAAAAGTAACAAGTCATACAGCTATCACAAGCAGTTTTTCATTCAGTATTGCCAAAAAAAAAAATCCGCAATAGAAGTAGGCACATCTTGTTTGTAAGAGAAGGTGGTCATCAGTTTCTTAAGCTACAGAATGGTAAATTGATTGACAAAGTTAAGTCTCTCAAAAGCTTGTACTGAAACGCTTAATATGCTGGAACGTATCTGAAAGTTGGTCTTGGAAGTATTGCACCACAAAGATGGACTTCTACCTTCTTACCAGTGTCCAAATACATTGCACGCGGACAGATTAACTGCCCTAGCCGGTTACGAATCATAACAAAACAAATCATTCAAAGGGATTTGCCACTGGGACAAACTTGAAGAAATACTACTTTTCAAAAGGTACTTGGCTAGTTACACAATACTCCCTTTGATTTTTTTTTAAGCTTTTGAAGATGCAGTTAAGCAAGCCCTTTTTCTTAACAATTCCGTACAAAAACTCTGGCTATGTGACCATCTACTGCCATGTTCTAATGTAATACTAAAAAAATTCAATTTTAAGCCTCCACTACAAGACCGTATAAAGGTCTGGTAAAAAAAAATCATTCCAACCTTAATATTTCTTGTAAGTGTAAAAAAGTTATGAAAAAGTGATTATTTTTTTTTGCTTGAACGCCACACATTGGACAGCCCCTGCTATGAAAAAATATTTTAAAAACTCAATAAAAAAGGGAACATTTGATGGCCGAAAGCAATTTTAAAAAATTAAAACTGACTCCATTTAAGAACAGGCACACAGTACCTTCCTGCCATGTAGTTTAACATCTATATACCAAAGTAAAGTTAAAGCCTGGTTGCTTTAAGAACAAAAGGACCGAGCATATATAGATACATAGATCCATAAGATTAATATCAGTTGTACCATGACATTTTCCAAACAGACAACACTAGACACAATCCAGCAAGTGCTGCTGGTGCCCGCTTTTCAGTATTCTCAAGAGGGGCTCATGGCAAACCCTTCAAGGCTTATGTAGTCCCGTACTGAACTCCATGGGACTTACTTTAGAGTAAAAGCATATACAATCCAGCCGCGGGCCACCTAAAAACTAACAGGCCATGTGCAGCAATAGCACTTACAGCTTGTGTCCAGTAATGTGTGCCAAAGATAGAGCTTGTGTAACACTGAACACTTTCCTAGGAGACTACCCAGCAATTTTTAAAAGTGTGCGTTTTATGCCATTTGCCAAGTGCAATAGTAACAATTTCAAAATTAAACACAGCATAACTAAAAAAAAATAACAATTATTGAACAGGTGCAGCAAGAACTAGACATAACAATGCTTTTTAAAAACTAAAAGATAGGACTATGACATGGTCCCCATCCCCCCACCGTAAGAAAATTTTTTATTATGGTTATCAGAGCAGTACTACATACTTAACGTTTTCTTTAAAACACACTTCCCCCCCTTTCTTGTCTCTCTCACACAGATACACATACACTTTCCATATGAAGTACACATTAAAGACTGCTATTTCAAACTACATTTTAAAGATGTTGCATTCTGGAAAGTAACATTATTGTGGTTTGAAGAGCTGCGAAAAGTGTTAACATAAGCAGACCTCTGAATGTATATGAGAAACCAGTGATTCTAAAAGCCGCTGTGGGATTTGAGTTCCTACAGAATGCGTAAGGCCCAACTTCTATTAATTCTGACACCAACAAGAATCCAGTGCAAGCCCTAAATTTAAGCAGCAGATCTGGGCGTAAGTAGCTACACGTCTCTTTCAGCTCACTGCATATTGAAGCGGTAGATGTCAACACACTCAGCAGATCTAGATCACTGGACACTGGATCACTGCAACTCACTGTTTTGCACCTGCTGTCCCACTGCCAGCAGAACCTCTTTCACCGCAGACCCACTCTCAAACATGAGAGATGTACAACAGTACCAGTTTCTGGAACTTTTTAAAAGTTCCATGGATACAACTGTCCAGTGATATAAAGAGATACTTCACATCTAGATCTAAGGGCTTATCAATGCACTCTTTATGAATATTTTGAAACTAAAACGCTGCCAACTTCCAAAGCTGAGATTAAAAATGTTGTGCGGTATGGCATCTGCACAAGCAATACACCCTCTGCAGATGTGGCACTAAACAATGGTTTGCTTTCTTTAACCATGAGGTTTTGAGACTGTCTAACCCCCCACCAAAGGAGGATTAAGGATGGCTATAAACAAGAACATGAAGTCATAGACTGATAAGGATTTGCATCAGTTAGGCGCTATAGCTACACCAAGTAAACCACAGTTAAGCCAGTTTTCCACACATTTACACTCACAAGGTAAAAGCAGGCCTCTGGGGGCAGGGGACATCCTGAAATTGCAGTTTTATTGTACATTTGGGGGCTCAGCCAAGGTTAAGGCAGCAAACCAAGGTTAGCACTGGCTGTGGTTGCATGCGACGTGTGCACCAGGCCAGACTGCCAGAAAACACTTATTTCTGTCTGCATTTTCTTCTCTATTTTTAACTTACTTTTTAAAAAGTCAAGCCTTCCCTGGAGTAAAACTTGCCAAATTTAAAAATCCCCCAAGCAGGTGGCTAGTGGTTAAGCCTGCTCATTTATTTTTATTTAAGGGGCTGTTGCAAACTTGAAAACTAAATCAAGTCTAACATCTTGTTTCTTGAAAGAAAGAAAAAGCTTAATTCAGTATCAAAAAGTGATGTAAAAAAAGTGATTATGCATAGGCAAGGCCAAAACCACCCCCTAAATCTGCCAAAAAGCTGTGAGATGCATAAAAAAAGCAGGAGCCACTGATAATTCTCAGTGCCAGATTTCAGAATGGCATGCACCAATCCGCGTGCTCATTGGGTTCAGGCACAGCACAGGAACCACATCTTACAGTAGCATGCAAGAAGCTGCTGCCTAGGCTACCACTATAACAAATGGAATCTACACAGTAGTGATTCTTATCCAGTATGGCTTGATCTTTATACATCTCTTGCACCAGAAGCTGGGAAGTGTTTTTCTTTGCCTGCATACAGCTCCCAGCTGAAGCCCCTGCTCAAGCTCAAAGAAGGGGCTTGTTGCTCTCCAAAGACATTTTTGACTCTCTCCCTTGAACGGTTCACCCCTATGCCACCAAGTCCTTCTGAAACTCTGCTCAGTCTCAGAAATACTTTGACCCATGGCTGTAGTTGGAAGGAAAGCAAGTCTAGAGTTGCCCTTGGGTCCAATTCTACATCCCCACCTTACTACTGAACCCAATACTGTTTGTGGTTGTATTTAGTTAGGACTTACACAGCTTTCACTTCTATGCCTGATGGAAAATTCAAGTAGTGTCTTTGGACACTGACTTGACTTTGGACTTTCCAACCTCTTCACTGGTGCAAAGCAAGGCAGGGTCTCACACCAGACTTTTTCCACTCAAGCTAATTGCGCCCCTGCCAAATACTTAGATGTGCCAGCGGTCTCAACTGCTGTTTGACAAGAAGAACACGTATACTGATAGAGCAAGATGCTACTGAAGGATGAGATCAAGACAGTCACCCGTGGCATGGACCAAGTGACCACTGGACCAATCTACCCAGTGACCATTTATACTGTAACAGGAATATATAATCAGCAACATAAACTACAAAAAAGAGATATTTCTGGTCAGTTGTAATACTCCATGAAGTCCCTAATGTGTACACAATGAAAACATGAACTCTACTCAAAACGCCTGTAAAGTTTCTTGCACCTGTACCAAACTCAGAGGTCTAATCACAATTTGCTTCATTGCATTATGAGGTCTAGACTGCTTTTTGTGTATTCAATTTCTGTGCAAATTGCAATGTGGCTAGTCATCTCAGAGCCAAGTTAACTGTATTCGATTATAATTGGAAGCATTTGACTACGATTTTTTTTTCCTTTAGGCATGCTTATTGCTGTAAAAAAAATTAAACCAATCTTACAAATCATTGTGCAAGGATTTTAATTAGATTTGCACACATCTCAAAAAATTCTATCGTGTGGCTCCCTGATCTCGGGGTTAACTCAGCTGCAGAAGAGTCGAGGGAAGAGGTCACCGATGAGGTAAGAGACATATCAGAGGATTTTCCTTGAGCCTCAGTGTCCGAATCCTTCTGACAAGATCTGTAGTTAGTCACAGAGCCTGACCTCTGTGGAGTGGTGGTCCCGGACTTTCCTTCAGTAATTTCATCTAGGGCAAAAAAAAAAAAAAAGACGAGAATAATTTTAAAAGACAGGGGTGATACAATGGGAAACAATCAGAGAGAAGCATTGGTCACAATGCCAAGAACTGTTGGGTTATTATGGGAACCAGGCTGAGCTAGTTTAGTACAGTGGATAAAGGGTGGTCATTTTGGCCTCAACTTGACCCTATCTTAGCTGCTAACTGGGTGGTCTTATCCATTATTATGGGCAATAAGAATTTCCTGCCAGGTTAGAAAAGGTCCATCTGTTCCCAATTGTGGCCAGCCTAAAGCCTTTTGGGAAGTCTCAAGCTGGACACAAAAATGTGGGCCATTTCCTGTTGACCTCTGACACCTCGGATTCTGTGGACATACAGCTGCTAAACATGGAGCTCTATTTAGCCATCATGATGGGGTTTTTTAAAAGATAATAGCCAGTGCATCTGGAGGGGGGGGGAGAATTTGATGTATTGCTTTTAGTATTTATTTATATATTTTATTTCATTTATACCCCGCCCTCCCCGCATGCGGGCTCAGGGCGGCTTACACAGGCACAACAGTGCAATAAAATATAACACATTAAAACAATTTAGGCACCCAAAGTGCGATAAAATTACACAGTTAGCCACTTAAAACACAATTCAATCTTACAGGATGCATCGGTAGTTAAAATACTCACTCATTATTATATATCACAGTGAGGTCAACAGAAAGGGGGGGTGCCATAGGCCGAGATGTCCCAGTTGGCTAATCAGCCCACCCCGACACCACTGCTCTGCAGTACACGATGGTGGTAATAGTGGCGGCAGCGGCTCCTACTCAAAAGCCTGGCGGAAGAGCTCCGTCTTGCAGGCCCTGCGGAACTGTAAAAGGTCCCGCAGGGTCCTGATCTCCTCCGGGAGCTCATTCCACCAGGTAGGAGCCGCCACCGAAAAGGACCTGGCCCTTGTGGCAGCAAGCTTGGCCTCTTTAGGTCCCGGGGTCACGAGGCGGTGTTTTTATTTCCTTTTGTCTGTCTTGAAATTATTATCATCAACTTCACTGTGCACTGAGGCTGCACATCTGTAAGAGTTGCCAAACAGCAATTTACTTCACAGGTCTGAGGGGAAAATGAACGCCATGAAGATTTTAAAGGTTTTTAAATCCCTCTGCAAAACTAAAAGGCCAATTTTCCAATAATCAGTTTAAAAAACGAAGACTGTATTTGTCCTCCTTTCCCATACCATCAATGCTGCGAAAGTCCAGTAGATACGTCCTACTGTCCACCTGGTACAACTGCAGGCTCATTTTGGAATATGTGCCAGTCACTGGATTTTTCCGTCGAACACGCAAATAGTATGGATTTACAACCTAGGAAACACAGCTGAAAGTTAATTCTCACTCTATATTTTTATTAAGAGACCCTGACTGCATTAATTTGCAAGCGTCTGAGTCAAATATTCATGGCGTGCATGTTTAAATAGTCTGTAAAAAGAAAAGCACATAGATCTCACCTTCCACTCATAATCCAACTGCTTGATTGCTCGGCAAACTTCTGCCATAATATCATTAGGACGACTTTGACTCCGGATTCCCAAATGCCACTTAGCTCTCCTGACCCCTTGGTGTTTGGACTTCTGTGGGTTTAGCTCATCCAGCGTGTGGCGCGGCCTTGGTGCTTCGGCTACTAAAAATGGCACTCTTTCAGGATGGGGACGAGAGAAATGATCATCAAGAAAAGAATCTGGCGGGCTTGTTGCCAGATAGAAGTCTTTTGCTTCGTTCATTATTCTTCTGTTATCTATGATGAGGTGATAGGCCACCGCTAAAGGATCCTGGTGATTCCGGTTATATAAGCAGCTTAGCACTTCCTCCTCTGTGCATTCAAATTTTTCGCAGACCTCTTTTAAGGCTTCGTCGTCGATCATTGTTGAACTGTAAGATGGATCTTCGGGGAAGAGGTACTTGGGGAGATCTTGCTTAAACCATTCATGTTCCCTAAATATGAGAGGGGGATACATTTTAAAAGCTAGATCTACAAGAAAAAATTATCTAGAAAAACTGCACAATTACTATGAACATAGATTCACTTAGATTAGACTAAAGCAGCGGCTTAGGAACTTTGTTCTCCCTTTATAAATGGAATTTGATTCACAAATGAACACTGCAATAGCTGTACCACAGTTACCATCTCAGGAGATAAATATACCTCCTTTGTTCTACCTCTTCCAGGCCCACTGTTCCTTGGCTCCAAAAAATTATTTTATTTTCCTGAGCCTTAAGGACATTTTACCTCCAATATAAATTCCTCCTAATGGCTAAAAGTATGGTTGGGAATACGACCACACTCTGGGTAACATTCAATATCTTCGCTCTACTGATAGCAGTAGTTCACTCCAGTGTAAGGAGGAATATTTCTGCATTAGTGGGGAGAGTTGCTGGACTGAATAGGTTCTCTTCAATCTGTAACATTTATATACTTAACCTATTACCGGTGTTAATCACTTCCCTGCCAAAAAGTATTCAAAGCAATAAAAACCAATGTAAAAATATCCAGTATAATCATACTGGGTCCAACAAACTGAGAGCAAACAGCAGGGCTACAACCCCACGACTGCCCTGAAATCTCACTCCCAAGGATCAGGGGTCCCCTAGAACACATGAGTGCATGGAAGGGCTGCA